TTTTTTTATTAACTTTTTTTTATATAAATTTTTTATCAAATATAACAAAATTAATAACCAGTAAAATTTTAAGAAAGCTTTATTACAAAATTTAACAACTTTTAATATGAAAATTGCATATAGAATACCCCAATAAGATTTAGAGCCTAAAAACTTAAAATTTGTCATGAAAATACATAAAATAAGAATTAGATAAATTGTACGAGTAATATCAACAAAAGAAAAAAAACTTGTAACTTCTTTGTTTATTTCACATGATGTTTAAGAGTTTTAAAATTAAAATCCATTGTACAATAATATAAAGAGTTTTCGATAGAAAACATGAAAGTGTGAATGTGCTAATAAATCATTATTCACGCATTGGCCGGAGGGATGGGAGATAATAACAAATAAATGGACAAGAGATAATTGTTAGTCATTTGAAAGTAAATGTGCATATATAATTCATTTTAATAAAAAAAAAGCATCTATTAAATCATCTTTTATATGGATAAAAATATAATGGCTATATATATGATTGATTTTATTATTGAATAAAAATAAGTAACAATCAATTATTATAACAAAACTATATTACTTCAATAAACACATATTAAATATTACTTAAAGAAAATTCATTGAAAATAGCTGAAATAAATACAAAAGAAAAAAAAAGAGAGAGAAAAAGAAAAGTTTACAACTTTTAGAGTCGGTGTTTGTTGAAACAACAAATGTCATTGATTATTTTTTTTTATTTTAAACGAAACTAAATTAATACATACTTAAACAAATGAGGATTGAGAAAAAATGATCCATAAAACTCAAATACACAATTCATATGAAGTAATTCGCATTAATTTAGAGTTTAAACCATTAGGTTGGAGCTCATGGATCTAATTAATTTGGGAGGCAAATATGCGCATATGGACATTTTTAATGTAAAGATTACTAGTTTTTAGGAAGTAAAACAATCACTATATTTTAACTTTATTATGATCTCTAAATGTGAAAATTAGGAAAAAATATTTTTTTTATTTATAAAAATTTAGATAAAAATATTTTAAAATTATGCTATTTTTAATAATTTTTATTTAAAAAGACAAATATAACTTATTTTTAAAGTAAAATTAATATTATTTTAATTTTGTATGACAATTTATTAAAATAATGTAGTATTAAGTATTTTTCACTTAACTTTTATAAATTTAATTGATAAACACTAATCTCTTAGAATTAACCACAACACATTTACAAAACTTTTGATAAATAATAGAGCAATGGTTATGGCAACACTAACAAATGTTAATGTCATACAAACTTTTGGATACTTTAGTTTAAAATGCTGATTCAATTTAGTTTGACGGGTAAAAAGTAATTGATAACTGTAATTATTAATTGATAAATAATAAAATTATTTGGATTTCTGATTCAATTTATTAAAATTAATATAATATTTTTAAATTTCATAACTAATTATTTATGAAAAATTACAGCATTTGTGGTTGATAAAAAAAAAAAAATCAACATCATTTGTATTGTCTCAACATTTTTTAGTGGGACATGATCACAACCTTTTACCAAAATGGCAAAAGTAGTTTTGGACAACAACCCAACACATATGAATCATATGATACCCACAATATGTACTAATCTTACCATAAAATGATCCCATCAATGGTTATTTTTGGCAATTTGCGGAATTCAAACTGTCCAAAAGAGGTCTGTTTTGTCAATGACAAAATATGAAATATATATATATATATGTATGTATTTATATATATTTTGATATTAGTTGCACAATGAGAGAAACAATTATCTCTCATCCATTATTTTATTCTACTTGTATATCATATAATTTAAATTTAAAATCTTATTTTTAACGAAAAAAAGATAACCACTAAACTATTTATATTGTTAACATGGAAATATACTTTATTTTATAATTAAGCAAACGGTACATATTGTCCTAATAAAAAAAACAATAAGTAAAACGGCACGTAATATTATGTAATATTAAATAAATTGATGAATAAAAAATAGTTATAAAATAACAAGTGATGTCGATCATAAAAAAAAAAAAATGTTGTTATATGTAAAGGGGTTCATGTAATATATAGTCTATATTATTTATTAAAATCGTAGTATAATTTATAAATTGATTAAAATATTTTTAATATAAAATTTTTGTATATTGAAAATATTTTAATAAATTTATAAAGTAAAATATCATTTTAATGCATAGTTTATCATGTAAAATATTATATATATAAATATTATATTTAAATTATTTTATAAGTTTTTTATTTTAAAGTTTAAATATTGAATCTTGTTAAAAAACAAAAATTATTAGATAGAGAAAAAATTTTTAATATTAAAAAGGGTAGTAAAAAATAAGATATTTTAATAATTAAAAATTTTATATAAAATTATTTAAATATTAATAAATTAAAACATTTAAGTAATTTCAGAGTTTAAAAATTAAGAATTTAAGATTTTAAATTAAAGATTTTAAGTTTGAATTTGAAATTAAATGAGAAAGAATTTAAAGAAAGGGAAAGATTATATATTTTTTATATAATTTATCATTATCAAATAAAAAAAATTAATATTTAAAAATAAAAATGTCTTAATTTTTATATTTTTTTAATTAAAAAAATCCATTTCCATTTTAATGGTTTAAGTTGTAGGAGCTGACTTAGATCTAGATGCATTAGGAACCGTACAAATTGTTGTTCTTTCGTGAAAATGGAATGAAACAAATATGGAAGTTGGGGAGGGAACATGTTAAATTCCCAAAAATCGAATTACCGGGAATTTGTTTCTCTCTCAAAAAATTTGGAGTGACATTCGAATTTCTCCCGCCTCTGCGCTCGAAGACGAAGAGGGAAAGCCAGAAACCAAATTTTTTGAACAGTCGGAAAAAGAATTCAGCACATACTCCAATAAACATTTTCTCTTCTCCTCACCCTAAATAATCACTCCACCTGTTTCTGTATTTCTGTATTCAAAGTTACGACCAGTTCCGAAGGACCCTTCTGACAGTTGCAGCAATGGCTGTTGCCTCCAATTCCGCCTCCCAAAATGTTGTCTCTTCCCAAGAGACGAAGCGTACAAAGTGCCCGGGTGTTCGTCTTGTAGGAGGCAGGATATATGATTCCGAGAATGGTAAAACTTGCCACCAGGTATCTTTTTATTGGGTTTTCTCAACTACCCATTTTCCTAGTTTTGTTGGGTTAATGAGAAAGTGTGAGAAAATGAAGGAAAGTGAATTTCTTGGGGGGTCTCATTATTTCTCATTGGTTTGAGGTCTGGTATTGGATTCTAGATCGAAGTAATGATGTTTTGATCTTAGCAGCCTTGACTTTTTTGGCATGTTCTAGATTTCAATATATATTTTCTATTTAATCTTTTCCCGTTTGGTTTATGATAATGATACCTGGCATTGGCAAAGTGATTTGTAACTGAAATCTTAGAAATCATAGAGTTTTTGCTCGTTTGGGACTGATACATTTTTTGTTCTTGGGGCTTAATAGCATTAACTTAGCTGTTACATTAGCAATAATTATGATATTTGTTGTTCATTAATTCATTTCAATGTTTTATTTGTTTATTTATTTATTTTTTGTTCTGCTTGGTTGATGGGAAAATGTGGGAAAACAATTAAGGATAGTAAGGATTTAATTGTTCTTGTAATTTGAGATATGGAAAAGGAAGAGTTAATTGTCCAACTAGAGTTATTCAACTGTTTAGCTTAGTGGAATTGAATATTGTATATAGAATCGGATTATTTGATCTCTATAATATTTATTATTTGTTGATACTTTTTTTTTTCTTCTTCCTTGTTTCTGGCCTTATTTTCATTTTATTTTATTTTTCTCATGTTTGGATCCAATGTTGAAGTGCCGGCAAAAAACAAGAGATTTTTCAGCATCATGTAAGAACCTGAAAAGGGACAAGCAATGTACCATTAAATACTGTCACAAATGCCTATTGAACAGGTTAGATGCGGCATTCAACTTGTATTAAGTAGTTTGTTGAACAAGTTTTGGGGTATCTTATAAGTTTCTATGCACAATGCAATTTGGCTGATATTGGGATAGATATGGAGAGAAGGCAGAGGAAGTGGAACTGCTGGATGATTGGAAATGTCCTAAGTGCAGAGGCAATTGCAATTGTAGTTTCTGCATGTAAGCAAACAGTTTTAAGCACATTTGTGTATCTGGTTGGTATTATTAGCATCAAATGGTTGAGAACAACTGAGTTGTCTATTTTCAGGAAAAAGAGGGGCCATAAACCTACTGGTATGCTGGTGCAGAAAGCCAAAGCAACTGGGTTTTCCTCAGTTTCAGAAATGCTTCAAGTCAAAGGACCGGAAAATTTACATGGCACAACTATAAAAGATACTATTTCACAAAAGAAGCAAGCTCCCTTAACCAAGGTTCGCTACTTCTATTTCTAATGACGGCAAAGCTTGGGTTCTTAACATCCTACGGTTATATTGACTTTTATCTTTAATGTTGTCTGCTTGCTGATATTTCCAACAGGAATATGTGGTTTCCTCACCTGTAAAACCTGGAAAGGAAAATTCCTTAAATGCAGGTTGTGATTCAGAATTCAATTCTCAGAACCTGACTCCAAATTCTAATGAGAAAAAATCTAAGAAAGTAAAACGGGAAGGATTAAAGGAGTTGTCCAATCGCAAGAAAGATTATGGCACTTCTTTAAGAGAAAGTAGTCCGAAGAGAGCAAAAACTTCCGTTGAAACTTCAAAGAATGAAGTGAAGGGTAATTCTAAGGCACTAGTTAGAAATAGTGTTACCATGAGATGCAGTAGTACAGAAGAAAGCAAGGGTCAGAAAGGCAAGAAAGAAGGAGTTTCTAATGTTACAAAAAATTCTGAGGGAATTTCAACAAAAGGAGAGCCTGCAATTTGTGATGCACATTTGGAGAATACTAACTTGAATCCAGGAGTTTCAAATGGTGTTGAAAATGATAATGCAGGAGCCAAGGTGAAGGCTGCTGTGGAGTTTTCTAAAGTTAAAAAGTGTGATATGGACCTTGAAGAGAAATATCTTGTTGACATTCAATTACCTCAAGGCACCAGCTTAGTAACCGTTGCAGGCATTGATTTACTTCCCAAAGATGTTGGACACGTGTTGCAATTCTTAGAGTTCTGTGCAGCTTTTGCAGAGGTATGTTTGACTGTTAAATTTTGGTATATTTAACTTCTGGCCTAGATAAGGTATTGTAAATCTTGTTATCAATTGAAAGCTTGTATATAGTTGACAATATAAAACTAGTTGATGAATCATAACATATTGTCTAAGAACCATCTTACTTTGAATCATTTATAACATGGGTGTTTCTACCAAAATTTTTGAAAGGAAATTACTGATTGATTGTACCATTCTGCTTTTTTATTTTCATTTTTAATGGCATTGATTGTGCTGGATATTCTTTCAAAAGGCAAGGACAATCACCATCTAGTTTTTGGTATTCCTTTCTACTTTCTCTTAAGTATATTTTTATCTTACTTGCAAAAATGCTTATGGAACTGAAGTGTTTCTTGTTCACTAGTATGTGAGTGCAGTTGTTTGTTTTGTTTTATTTTATCCATCTCTGCCCACTTCCTTTAATTTTGTTGCTGGTTTTGCTGTCATGCTTCTTTTTTAATAGGTTCTTGATATAAGGAAAGGGCAAGCTGAATCTGTGATCAGGGAAATAATACGTGGACGAAGTAGACGTCAACTTCCATACTCCTCCATAGGTCAAATCCACATTCAGTTGTTGTCTCTGATACAAAAAGATATGGGAACAAAGTAGAAATTTATGCCCTACACATGTATTATCCTTTTATTTGATGGGATTGGGATTCTAATTACCTGCTTCATTGACTGTTCAGGTTTCCATCATTAAGTACAGGTGGAAAAGATTCTTGGTTTCAAGCTCTTGGCCAATGTGTTTCTGAATCCCAATGTGCACTGGAAGAGTTTCCATCTAATATTTTTGATAAGGGTGTTGATGCATACAATCTGTTGGACAGTTCAAAAAAGCTTAAACTTTTAAACTTTTTATGTGATGAAGTTCTTTCCACTAGGTAAGTACTAAGTAAGAAGGATGAAATGTAGAGATCCTTTCTTAATGAACTAGACTTTTCCTCTCTTTTTTTTTTTTTTTTTTTTTTTTTTTTTTTTTTTTTTTTTTTTTTT